ATTTCCTTAAAAGTTTTAAAAGATTTTACTTTTTTTTTTGTTTTATAATAACAAAGTATGCAATTTGCACAAAATTAAACCACAATATTTCTTTTGTGCTCACAAGGGAAGATAAAATTAGCACACACAACCACGACTGAGAAGTTCACGAATTTTACTAAACTTTCATAACTGTAATCGACGGTTGCTCTGTTTATTTTCAAATATTTTTTTCATAAGGATCGCATAGCTTGCTTATTAACAGCCGACGTTACCTATGATTTAAGTAAGATGGCGCTGTGTTGAGTAAAACCTCAAAATATAGGTGGTTACCTGTGGTGGCCACCGTAACGAAAAGAGTTCAAGGAACAATCACATACGCTAACAAATAACACTGACCGGGAATACTTTTAGCAAATGTTATCCAATGTTTATAATCACGTAAAAATATGTTCTAATTTCGATCCAGATAAAGAAATCATGAAATCAAATAATGTGTAAAAAACATAAGACCAATATGATAAAGGCATTCAAAAAAATAACTCAACTATTATCTGAAAAGTCTATCTTACGAGCTTAAGCATGTTTATTTACTTTGGAAGTGTACAAAAAGCTATTCTCGATCCGTAATTCAGCATCATCTAATTAGAAAAGCATATCAGACATAGGCCAAGAGCAATATAGAGAGAGCACATGTTTTTTCGGAATACCTTGAAGGTGTTTTTAAAACATATGATACATCTAATGCTGCGGAAATTAAACTTCATACTTACGACAATCCCTACAATTCCGAAATCCCTATAGTAAGTAACGATGAGGTGTATGGGTGTGACCTTATTACCAGCGAAATATAACACCTTCCTCACTGATATAACGAAAGTTACTATTAATCTACAATCTATCTAAGTTTGGAATGGCGGGCTCCTAATCCTTTCCGAACCTTTTTTTTTCCGAATTAAACGTGAAGATTTGTGCTCTGTTCCTCAGGGGATCGTGCTAGGACTCATCCTTTAACTACTCTTTACGTGCGATCTACCAAACGATGACATTTGTATTACAGCAAGATTTGTAGATGATACTGCGGTTTTGTCAGTCGGCAAAACACAAAGTGCTTCAAATGCAAAGTATCACTTGTTCTTGCGAACATTGAAACAAAATATTTGAATATTTTGATTGATTCATTGATCTCTCCAACGGAGTAAAGATTATCTTTTTCCTCTGCTTCCCCCCGAGGGTACTGTGTCTAATACTTTTAGAGCTGGAGCGTTTCCCATTCGGACGACTTGACCTAGCCGGTGTAGCTGCTGTCTCTTAATTCGCTGAACTAAGTCAATGTTGTCATACAGCTCATCCTTCCATCGAATGCGATATTCGCCGTTGCCAAAGCGCATAGAACCATAGATCTTCCGCAGAACTCGATTCATCAGATGTTGTCATCGTCTATACCTCTACACCATATAGCAGAACAGAAATAATGAGTGACTTATAGTGTTTTGTCTTTGTTCGTCGAGAGAGGACTTTACTTCTCAATTGCTACTCAGTCCGAAGTAGCACCTGTTGACAAGAGTTATTTTGTGTTGAATTTGGAGGCTGACATTGTTGATGTCAATACTGATTCCAAGATGGACGAAATTTTCTACGATTTCGAGGTTATGACTATCATCATTGACGTGAACGCTTAGTCGCGAGCACGACGAGTGCTTGTTTGATGACAAAAGATATTCTTTCCCTTGTTCACTCCATTCCGGTGAAAGCAGAATTAACTGGATAATGATATCAATATCATCAGTATACGCTAGCAGCTGTACACTCTTATGGAAGATTGAGTTCTGCAGCTTAAATTATTTTCTCCAGCAGCAAATTGAAGAAGTCCCGTGGTAGGGAGACGCCTTGTCTGAAACATCGTTTGGTATCGAACTGATCGTAAAGGTTCTTCTCGATTATGACGGAACTTTTTGGTATTGCTCAATATGAGTCTACACAGTCATATTAGTTTTGCGGGGATACCAAATTCTGTCGTAGAAATCCAGAGATTCAAAAACAACATTTTAATATGCATGGTATGTTCGCATTAACGATCTTGAACGGATCTCGGAATTGTATCAGTTGCCGCATCAATCAACAAATATGCAAAGTACCATATGGAAAGACTTTCCACGTGAGCACTGAAGCTAGGGCCCTTGTCGCTCAAAGTAAATAATCACTTTATACAGTAGTCAGATTCTCTGAAATTTGTACGTAGAACACCATTAATTATTTTGTATTAGTCGAATTCAACAGTAATTATTAGCGCACGAAGCATTTCCAAGAAAATGGTTTCCTGTTGGAAGAGGAATAATATCGGGCGCTTTTGTATAAGGTAATTTTTATTTTACTCATTAAACGCAATAAATTAAAAACTATAATTATAATTAATTAATATAATTTAGTTTACTTATGCTTACTAAAAAACATAAAAAGAAAAAAAAGGAAATCAGGAACGAACGAAAAAGCCCGACAAAAAATTAAGAAAGTGTAATGCTAAGGTTTGCGTGGCTACGAGTGTACTATTTGATGTCTGAAATTAAAGCTCATGRTCTTGGCGACATTTGGTTTCAATAAGACGGCACCACTTCCCACACATCGCAACAATCAAAATTTATTGGGAGAACACTTCGGTGAGCAGAAAATTTTACATTTTGGGCCGGTCGATTAACCACCATGTGATCGTGTGATATCGTACCGTTAGACTTTTTGTAAAGTCTAAAGTCTATGCGGACAATCTCCCTTCGATTCAGACTTTGGAGAAAAATATCACGCATGTCGTTCGCCAGTTACCAAATCTTCGAACGAGTTAACAAGAAATGGACTCAACGGATGGACCATCTGAGACGTAGCCGCTGCCAACATTTGATAGAGATAATAAACATTTTTCATTAAATTTAAAATTTCTGTGTTTTTTCTTTAAAAAAGTAGCGCATATCGAAATGGATCACCCTTAATTATTATAAGTAATAACGCTTAAAAATAACATTTTTATATCTTAAATTAAATAAATGCTTAATAAGTGGAATTTGTACGAGTATTACATGTATTTATATTAAGATTTATACATATTTTTTTAATTTACAGTTCGCGTAATATATTGGATGACTTCCGGGAAGCTTATTATTGGCTTTCCCAAAATACTGATGATAATGCCCGTATTATGTCATGGTGGGACTATGGTTATCAAATTGCTGGAATGGCAAACAGAACTACATTGGTTGACAATAACACTTGGAATAATAGTCATATAGCATTAGTTGGAAAAGCTATGTCGTCTACCGAGGAAAAATCATATGAAATTATGACTTCTTTAGATGTGGATTATGTTCTCGTTATATTCGGTGGAGTTATTGGTTATTCTGGTGATGATATTAATAAGTTTTTGTGGATGGTTCGAATCGCTGAGGGTGAGCATCCCAAAGACATTAAAGAAAGTGATTACTTTACGGAGAGGGGAGAGTTTCGCATAGATTCCGAAGGTGCTCCTGCTCTTCTTAACTGTCTCATGTATAAACTAAGTTACTATCGATTCGGAGAATTGAAGCTTGATTACAGGTAAGTCTTGCTTATATGACTATATATAATTAGTTATTTACCAGTGTTTCATAGAAAATTATATTCCCTTTATTAAATATGTTCCTATCACACGATCGTAAAAACATATACATATCTAAATTTTTAAGAACAGCAATGACGCTGCAATGTTTTGTTCTCATCGAGTAAAGTTGATGAAAACGGCAGATGCAAATGCATGCATGATATTTTGCTTTTTAAACAATGTTGTTCCAAAAGAATATTGCAGGAGAGCCAATAAAGGCAATGAAAATCATGAAGATGATAATGGGGGCAATAAATCTAACATAATATTAGCTTTGTTTTCATATTTAAGTTAGATATATGCTATTTGAAAGAAAAAAACTTAGAACCATTTTACATATTTTTTTTTAATTGACCTTACCTTATTACAAATGCATCATTTCACTACGTATAAAATATTGAAATTACGTTGGATGTTTGTGTTATTATTCAAATCTCATTCAACATGATAATTCGGGTGGTGGAGCACGGTGCTCGTTCGTTCCGTGGTTGTGGTTGGCCGTGGGGAAACGGTCGGCGCAAGTTATTCCACAAATATTAAATAGAAAACCAAAAAGTTTCATATAATATGTATATTTACAAAATAACAAATTGGACAAACACTTACCACGTCTGGATCGGTGAGCGGTCGCAAAAGAAGAGAGCGCGCGCAACTTCTTTTAGTTAGAGTTTAGTTGCGCGCGAATTAAACTTCGAAAAGGAAGAAAGAAAAGATTGTTCTGCCGATACAGACGTGGCAAAGAAAATTGGGCGGGGGCGGCGTCAACATTCTCCCCGCCTTGCAGTATTACTGCAAATGCAGTTTGCAATAAATTACTTAAAACTAACTTAACTAACTGGCTCCTGCGCTTCCTCTTCCACATCTTCTTTGCAGATGGGGTGGCCGACGAGACGAATCGAGTCTGGCTCGGTCCGGGAAATGCCGCTGAGAGGAATCAAATCTCAGTCGGTCATTGCCATGCCGCCAATTTGCATAGAAGTCACCAGGTCGGCGAGACGACTCGAGTCTAACTCGATCCTGGGTAGGTAGTGAATGTGAGAGGCGTTGGCARCCAGTGCACTTTATTGTGCCGATACTATACGACACCGGATACTCTATATCCCAGTGTCGTATTTTGGGYGATGAGTTGGCCCATTGCCGCTGGTTATAACCCGGGCAACATGAGCCGGGAGTAAACGTCCGTAGTGTTGCTTGCCTATCCTTGATGATACGGCATTCACTTGCTTGACGACGAACGTCTCGTCCACGCCTTCRCTTCGGATGGGGTGGCCGATGAGACGAATCGAGTCTGATTCGGTCCGGACAATGTCGCTGAGACGAATCGAGTCTCAGTCGATCRTTGCCATGCCGCCAATCCGAAAGGAAGTTACCAGCACGCCGAAGTCGGCGAGACGACTCGAGTCTGGCTCGATCTTGGGCGTGTGGTATGCAGGAGAGGCATCGTTGGTCAGAGCTTTGCATGTTACTGTCAAGCACTGAGGTGGGCTGATTGTTGACAATGCTGTTAGTCGAACTGCTGCTGTTGTTGCTGTCGTTAGCCACTACGGCCAATGTGGAATGATGTGACGGTGTTGATGTCGGTGTTATTGGCTGTTGTGGTGGCTGCTGCAGCTGGTGTTGCTGGGTTTGCAGTGATTGATGCTGAAGTTGCTGTTGTTGCGCTGTCACCGTTGGGCTGGACGCCATGGGTGACGAAAAGTGCGCTGGAGACATAGACGGCTGCGTTATCGGCAGCTGTGCTTCACGCTGCGTTGACTGCTGGTGTTGTTGTTGTTGATGCTGTRGCTGCTGTTGCTGGATTTGCAGCGATTGATGCTGAAGTTGCTGTTGTGGTATTGATTGGAGACTAGCTAGTGCATCTGGTGTCGCCGTTAACATTGCAGCAAACGGATCGCTTAGCAACTGGTGCTGGTGCTGCTGTTGATATGGTTGATGCATTTGTTGTTGGGGCGTTGTTGGATGATGTGGTGGTAATTGTGGCTGATGTCTTTTCGACTGCTGTTGCCGCATAGTCTGTTGATGGGGCGATTGTTGTTTCTGTTGTGTAAATATAAAATTAGTATAATTTTGTCTACAAAAATTGGTTTGTGTTTGTTGTTTCGTTATTGTTGAATTTTGTGGCTCACCTTTGCCATTTATTTTCCCTTCTTCGGAAGGAACGGAACCTGTTAAGATCCAACCGAACACTGTACGTTGTGCAACAAGTGATCCGAAGATTTTCTATTTTACCCCATTTAGAATGATGTTCGGGTAAAGATCCGCTCCAATCAACAAGTCAACCCATTGACTCGTATAGAAATTATTATCCGCTAAGGGGATATTGGATAACCTTTTTAAAATTGAAGGGTTAATTGACGTGGATGGAAGCAGTCCAGTCAATTTTGGCAGTACCAACGCTTCCGCTTCTAATCTTGAACTTTTGTTACGGGGCGAGCCAATTGTGATCGAGCATACCGATTGAACTCGTCCTGATACGATATTATTCAATCCTGAAACTCGAGTGCTGACCTTTCTGCTTGGCAGTTTTAATCGTTTCTGCAGACTGTTGCTTACGAAAGTTCCTTCAGATCCCGAATCTATCAGGGCTCTGACAGTGAAGGTGCTCTCGTTGTGACATATGGTCACCATGGCATGCTTCGACTGGTAGGCACATTTGAAATATTGGCCTTAATAGTGTCTATGCTGTCGGATATCTGACCTATTTCCTCGCTCTGATCCCGATGAATCATAGAGTGATGTCTCTGTTTAAATTTATTACAATTAAACATACTTTTACAATTTTTGACTTCATGTGAGTCTGATAAACATTTTAGGCAGACATGAAGTTTCCTGACAGCATTTAACCGTGCGTTAGGCTGCATCTCAATGAACCTTTGACAAGTTTTCAGAATATGTGATGTATGAGATGAGCACAGTTTACATTTTATATTGTTTGTCTTGGTGTGATGGGAATTCATGTGATTGGATCCAATCCTTGACTGCTAGGTTGGTATCCGATCTTAACCATTAGCCAACTCAATATTAGGTTGAGTACTCAACTCGCCTTTGAGGTTTGATACTCTCTCAAGCGTTTTAACCCGTTTGGTTAGAAATTTGTCTAACTCAACCCATTTTGGCATCTCTGAATCCGAATCCAGAGATTGTTCCCAAAGCGACAGTGTATAGTCCGGTAGTCGGATAGAACACAAATACGTGAATATGGCATCCTAGCTATCTACATTGATGCCATGTATTTGTAAAGCTGATATGCAGCTATTTATCTCCCGCTGTAAATGTCTGAGTTCGGTCTCAGATTCTGTAGAAATACGCGGAAGCTTGATCAATAAATTTAGTTGTGTGTTGATAAGCACTCGCTTGTTTTCATACCTACACAACAAATTATTCCAAGCCAATGCGAATCCGTCATTCGTCAGTGGCGCTTTCGAAACAGTAGCTTTTGCTTCACCTCGCGTTTTTTGATTCAAATGGAATAACTTTTCTACCGGAGA